TCTTGCAAAATCTCTGTGCTAAAGCTACTATTTAAGTGACACTTTGCAACAAGTTGCAAGTATTGTTAACTATATTCATGCAAATGCAACATGGTATTGTCAGTTTCCTAGCATGCTAAAGTTGAAGGATGAGGTATTCAGTGTGAATTTGCCATATCATTCTAAAGTGCATCGGCTATCACAGGAACAGGTGTTAGCTAAAATTTTATATCTGCGAGAACAGATAGTTAAATTTTATGAAGAACAGAATCAGCAGTGTGAATTATTGAAAGAAGATTTCTACAGGAATGGCATTTCTGTGTATACATTTCTGTGTATACATATACATTTCTGTGTATATCATGTAGAATCAAAACGACTTGAATATTTCTTTGCAAGGCAAAAGTAAGTCTGTATATGATATGTGGCAAAAAAAAAAATTTCAAAGCATTTTGAAAAAAGCTATCTTTTTTCAAAACACTTCTTCTTCAACAGGAAATTTCAGATGAACATTTTTCCCAGTTAGCAAAGGTCACTGATGAGCAGGATGATATATGGGAATCATCTGAAGAATAGGCAGCTGTTATAGACCTATTAATTGGAGAAAACAATGAAAGGGTCACTGACTTTGAGAATCATGGCATCACACTCAAATTAACATGTCAGCCTCACCTAGCTGATATCACCAAGGCATCTAAAGAACTACAGATGGAATTGATTAAGCTCTCAGTAGATGATATTTTGAAGTCATTGTTTGATGCTAAGAAAGATCCAATTGAAATATGGAAAAATGCAGTAGAATACCCACGTCTTCAGCAACATGCCCGAAAAATGCTTTCTTACTTTTCAACCACTTATTGCTGCAAATCTACATTCTCCTACCTAACCCAAATCAAGACGCCCTTAAGGTCACAAGTGACTGATACCCATCTGGAGGATCAACTGAAACTGCAGACCTCCATGCTGCAACCAAATATTCAAATGCCTTCCAACAAAAAGCAGACACAACAAAGTCATTAAAAGGTTAGTTAGCTTTAAAATTAACCGGTAGTTTTTATGTTTTGAAATTATTAAGTACATGATAGTTAGATTTTTACAAAATAATGTACACTTTTAAGTATATCTAATTGAAGTTTCTTGAATGTGGCCTTATTTGATTATGGCTAAATTAATGCAGCCTTCCAACATGAAAAAGTTCCCCAGCCCTGGAATAGAGGATAAAATTTGCTGTATGCTATTAGTAAAGGTAACAAAATGACAGGAAAGTAAATGGAGGGCAGATGGAGAAGTGGAGGGATTTTGTAAAAGGTGGCAGGCTATTTAGGGTTAGAGCTTTTTGGACTCTAAAGCAGAGATGCCTTGAACTAAGGTCTCTTCTGTTGTTACAGCTATTGAACGAGTACTTCGAGACGAAGACCCTGTGATCAAGGAGTTGGCAGAAATAACCCACAACATCATTAGGGGAGTATTGCATACAACAACCTCCTCAACTCTTAAACAAAATTTCCAAAGATTTTTTAAGTTCTTCTACATCAAAAAATTGAAGCCTCTTTATAATTATAACTTGTTCTTCAAAAACCAGACAGACAATCCCATGGAGAATAAAGATATCAAGAATGATAAGGAGAGCCTCACAGAAGAGAATGATGACAACATTTTACCAAAGAATGATAAGTTCAATAATTTCTTGGAGCATGAGCAGATCTTAGAAGTGGAATGATTTTTCTTTCACTCTTGATAACTTGAATCTATTTGTAGATGCTTTCCTGAAGGACTCTTGAAGCTTTTACAGTTTCTTCTTAATTCCCTATTTAAATATAAAAGTGTGAGAAATCTGGTGCTTTTTTATGTCTGAAAATGATCAGAAGCCAGCCCTACCTTATCAAATCCACTAAGACAATAGGCGAAATATATAAGCAAAGTGTTTAATGAGAGGCTGTTGGAACTTGATTCAGTCTTTCTAACTGCCAGACACTGTGTTAGGCAGTGGGGACATTGGATGATAAAGACAAAGTTTCTGTCCTCAGGATGGCCACACACTAGCGACACACAATGTGGTCATTTCTATACTGCTGACAGGAATACTACCTAGGACAGTGTTTACAAAGGAGGAGATGGAACATCAAGGGGAAGGAGAAATGGAGGAGGGAAATGTACTCCAGGTAAAGACATTGAGGCAATAAGAATATAGGCAAAAGCTGAGGAGTTTGTGGATACAATTGTGAATAGGAAAGAAAAATGGGGAGAGCCGAGACTGGAGGGAAGGTTATGTTCTGCTAACGGATTTAAACTTTTTGAAATGAAGATGGGATAGTCAATCATAGTCAGTGTTCCCCATAGTCCTCAGGGCCCAGTCAAACACTTTGCCCTGGATTATGAAACCTTTTCAATGATCTTGCTTGACTTAAGGCTCCAGGCTCATCTTTCACTCCTCCCACCTTACCCTTCACCCACTCCTATACACACATCTAAGCCTAAGCCACTCCAGCCACAGTAAACTACGTGTAGTTAGATGAAAGCACTTCTTTCTCTGTTGATTTAAGTGTGATGGCTTTGTAATGTGTCAACTTGCAGTTCACATATGTTTTTATTTCTCTGCTGGGTCACCTCTCTTCCCCTAAATCCTCCTCTAGCTTCTCTGACTTTTGGGCCAGGTAAGTTTAATTTTGTTGACAAAGGACACCAGCGTCTCCTACAGCGTAGTTAAGAATCTTGCAATGGGGAGATTATTCTGGATTATTTAGGTGGGCCCAATGTAATCATAAGGGTCATTATAAGAGTAAGGTGTGAGGTCAGAGAGAAAAGAGATTTTTGAAAATGCCACACTGCTGGCTTTGAAGATGGGGATATGGGTCATGAGCCAAGGAATGCAAGGAATGCAGCTCTAGAAGCTGAAAAAGGCAAGGAAAGGGACTCTGTTCT